ACCGTCACTCAGGGTGCTGCTCTGAGTGATGTCCGTGTTTTCATCCTGAAACGGTCTCTTTGAAAACGGATGAGTGATTAGAAAGCATCTCCGTACAGAGAGAGACAGCGCCTTCGCCAGGACCTGGGCCGCCCCAAGTTCTAAGCATCGTCAGCTGAGGATCGCGGCACCTCTTCCTCCCTGTTTGTTTGGTTATCGCCTGTCTTGGCTCCGAGAGGCGCCACGTCCACGGACTCACTGACTTGTCACCACAACCGGTTATCAACTCCACCTCACAGATGAGCCAGCGGAGCCGCACACAGAGGGTAGCTGACCCGCCCGGCGTGACAGCCAGTGAGGAGCAGAGTCAGGACTCGAACCCGGGAAATGCGGTCCCCCCACAGCACCGGAGCACTTGGCTAACCCCTGTTGGATCAGGCGCTGGAGGGAAGCTGCTGAATCATCGCATCGTTGTCACAGTCATGACCAGCGTGGCATGTTGCCGGTCAGCACAGGCTACCTGCAGGAGCGAAGGCCCCTTCCCTCAGCGGCCGCACCCAAACAAGGTTTGCTGCTCACTCATTCCACTCTTGACTCTGGTCGGCAGGGGGCGCTGTGCTCCACAGTCATGCGGGGGCCCTTTGCCTGTCACCAGCCCATGAGCAAACGGAGCCAGAATACTAGAACCCGCTCCCTGGGCCAGAACTCCGTCACCGGGCCCGGTGATGTATGGGGGCTTGGGGAGCAGTCCAGCCTGCGCCCAGGGAGAGGAAGGTGGGCACAGCCTCCGGGCCCATTTTTAAGGACTTCTGTGGGAAGACCTGGCAGGAGGAGGTGCCAGGAGTCGGAAAACATCGGTTCTGGCCCCGAATCCACCGATCGCCATTGTGTGTCCGGCCAGTCACAGCCGCTCTGGCCCCTGTTCCTCCTCAGCAGGGCGGGGACCCAGCGACCTGACGCCTGTGCCTCTCCCAGCTCTCCACGCCCACGGGATGCAGCGTCATTTCATTCTTCTAATAATCACGGCGTTCTGGTCAGTCTACATCGATGAGCTTGTGCCTTTGTTCAAAATGGCAACCATCACGATCACAGTGATGGGGAGGGAACTACGACCGACTTCCCGCGCTTGGCGTCTGTGACACCACGTGTGCATACTCCGAGGGGGGAGGCGCCCATGGGTCATGGGCAGCAACTAATTAAGTTGGGGAGAGCACAGGCGATGTCACCACGCCCAGGGCCGGGTTTCAGTTATAAACCTGATCATCGACAAGCAGGTTACTTGCTGGGGTGCGACAATTTCTGTACAAAACGGCACTTCCATCAGTTAGAGGGCCTCCGAGCACGTCAGGAGAGCCAGGCGAGAACCATCGAGAAGACACACCCAGAGCAAAGGACCCCTGAGCACGTCAGGAAAGCCAGGCGAGAACCATCGAGAAAACACACCCCGAGCAGCAGCGTTATCCACAGACCGAGGTTCCCCTCGGCCCGGCGACGGCGCGCGTGACACCATCGTCACCACCGGGATCTTGCAAGGACTGCACCGCGGTTTGGGGAGCAGGGGCACGGTGTGGGCAGGCTGGTTAAGATGTCGTCCACCCCAAGGACAGATGGTGGGGAGACAGCACAGACTATCTGATGTGATTCCCAACTGAGAGAAAATAAATGCACCAGCCTCGACGACCTGGCCAGACCAGGGCTGGAGGACGCAAGCAGAACACAGCCAGGGACACCGCCTCACGTACCTTCTCCCCCACTCCCCGCTGCCCCATCCTCCAGAGAACACCATGTCCGGCCCTCGACCCCCCTGCTTCCCACCTTCCCTCCTCCCGGTGCAATCCCCGGACACGGACACCGGTAACCATCTCTCCATCTCGCCCCTTAGGGGAGTGTTCTTACAAACACAGTGGGTCAGTCCCCTCCTTGTTCCCTGGCGGCTCTGACAGCCCACAGCCACGTGGCTTAGAGGCCCCTTGGTGGGCCGCCTACCTGCGGGCCTGCGTCGCCACACGGCCACCCCACTCGCTGCTGCTGGGCTCAGCCACACGGTCCTTTCAGGAGAAGCCAGGGGTCCGACTGTTCGTCTGGAAAAAAGCACAATAAACGCATCGTCGCCCTGTGTTTCCGACATCTGGGGACTAAATGGAAACACGGTGACAGTCCCCACAATCATAACTGAACGGCCCAGGTTGGGTGGCACCCACTTTGGTTTGTCCAGGACAGAGGACCCGTCTCCGTGGCAGCGACACTAGGAGACACAGCAGGACGGCTGCCCAGAGCGCCGTCCAAGGCCCAAAGCTGGGCTCCTTTTGCAGAACAGTCTGCGGACGCTCTGACATTAACGCACGCCCCCAAGGACGCCTTTGATCATTCAGGGAATGCTCGTCATGCGAGGCTCATAAATGCTAATCAAACGCTGCCGATTAGCCAGCCTAGCGAGTAGCCTGGGGGCCTAGGAAAGAGTTCTGAGAGTAAAAAGTATAAAGAACGCCTTTTAGTCGCATTTCGCCCGGACTGGGTTCCCGTGTGGTAATGAATACTCTCTCTGGCTGCGTGGGGAGCCGACACAAATCAGTACCTTTAGGAATCCAGACGGGAATTACTGACTTAGCTTTAAGCTTGAAGAGAAATCTATTTATTCAAAGGCTATTTTAGGTGCCACGGGACGGATGAGTCTGAGACAAAGGTTGGGAGGGGTAGGAGGGCCTGGGACATTGGGATAAACACATAATTCAAATTCATGCTTCTAGTTTAGCCAGCGAAGCAGACTAAGTCGGAATTTGCTGATTCGATTTGACCTGTACGGCACGATCCCTCAGTGAGCGGAACGTACGAGGCTCCGTGATAGCAGACCCCATTATCTTTGTCCCTCATTACCGAATCCCCGACACCTAATGCGACATGTGGCATATATACTAGTCAGCGGTTCTCAACCTTGGCTGCACATTAGAATCACCTGGGAATCTTTTTAAAATCCTGATTTCTGGGCCTGATCCTTCGGAAATTCTGTTTCTTTGTTGTGGGGTGGGGCCACAACATTAGTAACAAAGAAACAGAATTTCGGAGGATGAGGCCCAGAGATCAGGATTTTATAAAGATTCCCAGGTGATTCTAATGTGCAGCCAAGGTTGAGAACCGCTGTATTAGGTGCTCACGAAATGTCTGTTAAACGCACAGAGAACTGTCTCAAAGCATTTCCCAGAGCTTTTCAGATCCCATCATCTTTTCCTGAAGGGCAGCTCTGATCACAACATCTACCTCCCGTTACAAAGCCCCCGAAGTAACATGCACCCTAGGAAGGCCCTGGGGACCCGGCCACAACCCCCAGACCTCCTCTCTGCCCAGGGGTGCACCAGGAGGCCCCTGCACTCCCGTCCAGGTCTAAGTCCCTGCTCGGAACCTGTGAGCATCCTTTTCACCCATGCTTCTGCATCAAGAGCCTATCCACCTAAAGGTCCTCCCCAAATGGCTCTACCTTCATGAAAACTGTCAACACGTGGAGGTTGGTGTCTAATTTGAACCACAAAAATGCAGTGCGAAGAGCACGTGGTCCCAGGAAAGCTTTCGTGTGAGATCAAAGCAAAGTACCCAGGTCTCCCCACAACAGAGCAGCGGAACCTACTGGCCCGTCCCAGGCTGAGGTCACAGCAAAGCCTCAGCCAAGGGAGGAGGCGAGGGGTGTGAGGAGCGAGGCCGTGGGTGGCCGTGGAGGGACCCAGGCAGCGTTCCCAGGCCCCCGAGGGGCTGTGGCTTCTCAGAATACTTCCCTTTGTTGCCTGTAGAGTTTGTCTGGGCAGCCTGTGCTTTCTATAAACCTTCACTTGGGAAGGGCCTGGTTTTTGTTGTAAGTCTTTCAGGCATTTGTAAAGTGTCTAACAACAGGAGCTCACTCTCTTTGCCTTTGTCCGGGACAGACCAACATAACGTTTACGTCAGCCTGGGGAGTAGCCAAGTAGCGTAAGATTCTGAGCATCCCGGGCTACTTGCCAAAAACGGGTTAATTCCGCACAAGGGAGGAGGAGGCCAGAGCAACACCAGTGAAGGGCTCGCCCTGCGGCATCAGGAGACAAACTTCCCAGAACCAGCCAGGCCAGCACCGGCCCTCACTCACTGCCGGATGTGCTCCCTGTCCTGGGCTCGAGGCCTGGGGAATGACCATGCCCACTTGGTGGGGTGGTAATGAGACTAGTAACATAAAGTGATACATGCCAACTTATAGTCTCACTGCCTCCCAGGGACCAGATGGCACAGGGCCAGGAGCCAATTTATACAACTGCGTAAGGTGTACCATGAGGGTGTGGGGCCACCGGCCAGCACACCAGGACTGAGGTCATGCAGGTTTTGAAGGACACGGAGCCCTGGGTACATGGGACACTTATAGAGCCTGGGACTGACCCAAGGACACAGACCCCGAGGACAGCCGTGGGGCACCATGGGACACATGATGGCCCAGCTGCAGTCACTGGCCCTGCTCCAGTGCATGAAACAATGAAACAATGATTCTGGGCCACGTCCCCCTCGCTTCCCCACAGTGACAAAGCGCCACCCTGTTGCTCACTTAAAAGCTGTAATTCACACGAAGGCCACTAAGAAAGTGTCAGACGAAAAGCAAGCACAGGTAACCTCCTCCTCCTCAGTTCTTTCGCTGGCTCGGCCGCCTTGGGGAGTGCTGGACCCACTGTCCAGGGGCCTGGGTGTCTGTCACAACTGTGGGTCCTCAGACATGTCACCTCCCCACTCCAGGCCCCAGATCCCTCATGTTTAAGTGAGAGGGTTGGCTGGGTCTTCAGCCTGAAAACCAGTGACTCTGATTTGAGGTCCCATCGCTTCTCGGCCTCTGGGCTACGATCAAGTGCGGTCTTTGGTCCTGGTCTTTGGTCCTCTTGCATTTCCTTGAATCATGCCTGTCCTCCACATCTCGCTTGGACACAAGGACCTGAGGATTCTGGAACTCAAGGAGCCTCGAAGACCTTACACCTGAGTGCTGATGGCTAAGATGCATGGGGAGAGGGGGAGCGGTGCCGGAGGAAGAGGGGCCAGCCCAGACAAGTAACCAGAAAGACCCAGCTGTGAGCTGAGCTCAGGGCAGGAGTAGGGAGGGGTCCAGGGACCCCATCCCTGTTCCCTAGTACCATCGCTGAGCGGCCATCAAGACCCCTTTCCACCGGAAAGAAAGGGAGCAGGCTGGGAAGGGTTGTGGGAATACTTGGCGAGGGCCAGGAAGCAGACAGAGTGATGAGGGAGAGGAAGGACCAGCAGATGGGCCCCCAAGCACGGTGGGTCCCGTCAGACACAGGAGTGGGATGCGAGGACAGGGCTGGGGGCTCGGAGCAGGGAAGGGGCAGTAAGAAGGCTGGAGTGAGGCTGGATGGGACCCAGGACCTCGTAGCCTGGGGACGTCCAAGTCCCCTCCGACAGGCAGCCAGACATCGGCATTGCCTCTTGTGCCTCAGCTCTCGTGTGTGCTGGAAATGGCGAGCTGTGCTCATGGAAGGTCAGTGTGAGCTGCGGTGGAGGAGAGATTGAGAGCAGCTCTCAGGGGCCCTCAGAACACTGACCGTGCACACGATCCCTTTGTCCCCCCATCGCTGAGCATCCCCTGCGTGCCGGGACTGATAGCCTATCGATTTTTACATCCTACGCCCAATAGCAGCGTGTACACACGGTGGGAATGAACGACTACCTAGTGACTAAATGCATGCATATGTCTTGTTTATGGAGCCTCAATAGGATTCCGGTGAACTCTGGAAATCTGCAGTTCCTCCCCATAAGCCTAAAATCGATGGTGTTATTAAAAACAGGAGGGCGTTCCACTGCACGTTTCCTGAGTGGTCTGTTTCTCTCTCTCCAGGTGCTCTCTGTGGCATGCCCAGACCCTCTGCCCGAAGGGGAATCCGTCACGAGTGAGCGAGGCTGTGTCCCCGCGAGCCCAGGACGTGGCGACGAGCTGAGCACCATGGAGAAGTTCAGCTCCTTCTTCAGTGACATCTGGGACACCATCCTGACCAAGCACCAGGAGGGCCTCTTCAACAGCGTCTGCCTGGGCGTGGTGCTGGCGCTGCCGCTACTGGTGCTCCTCGCCCTGGTCTTCGTCTGCTGCTACTGCTGCTGGAGCCGGCCGGGCAAGGGCCAGCAGCCGGAGCACGGCCCGGGGAGGAAGAAGAAGAGGAGGAAGAAGAAGGGCGAAGAAGACCTCTGGATCTCCGCCCAGCCCAAGCTCCTGCAGATGGAGAAGAGGCCATCGCTGCCGGTCTAGTGGCGCGGGCAGCAGAGGGTCCGCCTTCCAACGACACACGGGGCCTGGAGCGTCACACACGTGTCCACGGAGGAACTTCTCAGCCAAAGAGCAAACCTCAGACTGAGTGTCCCCAGGGAGGGCACCCCCAGGGAGCCCGGGGACAATGCATGGGCACTGGCTGGGCAGCTATGTGTCCAATAGCAATGCTCTCTGCTCCAGGTTCAGGTGTGCTGCCCGCCTACTTCTGGCACAGTCCATACGCCAAAGCACAGGGAACACGTATCCATAACCATCTGGGCTCACCATGCACACGACACACATGCAGCACAGTATCTGCTCTCGCAAAACCATCTCAGGAGGGCCTGGCCAGATTCGGGCGCAGATGCACAATTACACGACCGGGCAAGGTTACAAACTCCATACCTGCTCCATGTACTACTCAGGTTACAGATGTATGCTTCCTACTCTGCTCCCCACAAACCCTCCTGCTGCGAATCCTCATCCTCGGACGTCTCAGCACCTGGCATAGTGCCCTTCGCAGTTGTTGATGCAGACCCTCCAGCTCCTGTGCTCCTGACCCCTCCCCGAGGAGGGCAAGTTTAAAGTGCAATGGATCCGAATTCATCGGAAGCTATGGTCTCACAAGGTCCTCATCACCACCGGTCGGTGTTGAACGTGGTCCAAGACCCCTCGTTGAGACGCTCCACGCAGAGCCCCTCAGGAAGGCTCCTTCTCCACACAGGATGGCAGCTCTGGGTGTGCCTCCTAGAGAGCTATGGGAACCAGGTGACTGAGGCTGCTCGGCCCACTCCACCCGGTGCACCGTCCCCTGCAACGCAGAGGTGGAAGGAGACGCCCCAGCTGAGCTGGGCATCCCCCCAGAGTCAGAGGCTTTCAGTGGGGAAGGAATGAAGACATCGCCGACACAGCCTCGCAGAAGGCACACTGGAAGCGACGGGTGGCATGCCGAGGGTGGGATGCCGGAGATTCAGACTTGAAGCGAAAGCAGGATGAAGCTATATAGAGGTTTATTAATATTTATCTTGAAGCTCAGGCAAGTGCCTTGCGCACAGTGGGTACTCGTAACTGTCTGTGGACGCTGTTGGGTATGTGATGACGTTAAGGGTAAGCTGTAATACCTCGCCAGTTCCCCCAAGTGGCCTTCTAAGTGAGCCCCCATCGCTGCGAGGGTGGAGGTGGGTGTCGCATTCTGCAGAACCAGGGGGTGGGTTGGCACGTGGGCCCCGAGGTCTGTGAGGACATATCAACCAGGTCCATGGTGAGCTGAGGAGCGTGTCTCCCCACCAGGCTGAAGTTGGGAGGCCGAGGTAATCCACGTGTCTGATGAGCTGGTTGGTATTTGGACTGGACTGTGACCATGTTGCAATGGTGGGTAATTCCTGAGAGCAAGCTGTGCTGTCCAAATTCATTGGCAACCCTCAGAGGTGGTCCCAAATGGTGTGCAACTGCCATTTAATTAACAGTGTAGCTAAACTATGGTACTTATAGCAGCAGAAACGAAATGCTATGCGATTGTGCTAAGGGGAAAATGCCCCCCAGGTGTGCTCCAGGCCTGTGCAGAGCGGACGCTGGGTGGTGCCTGCCATGGGTCCCAGGTCTCCTCACAGTGACCAGGGACGCCGAGTTCAGTTACATACACTGTGGAACCAGCAATGGTCACCCCCTCCCCCTACAAGGCCCCAAGTCTCCCAGGCACTCAGGCCCTGGTTCCTAAACCCCTGTGACCAGAGAAGCTACACCCTCTGATTCCCTGTCCCTGTGCCACAGGGAGAGCCTGTCACAGAGCAGTTGACTGTCCCCAGGGCATCGCAGGACGGCTAGTCATCTCCCCACGTCTCCCGCTGCCCAGGACGCCGGCCTTCCCGTCTGTGCCTCTCAGTCCCCTGGGTGGAGGAGTTGGGCAGACGCAGGGGGCTGGTGGGGGGCTGGCGGCTGAGGCTGGTGTCAGATATGATCCCAGAGAGCAGATCACCGGGAACATGGTTGCCGTGGCAACTGGCTGCTCATTTGAATTAAGAGAGCAGTGTTTGTCACCTCCACGACAAGGCCTCCATCTCCAGGTGCAGGGCCCTGCTGTCTCCTAATCTAGTGCATCCGCTCCAGCTCCGGCCACGGAACACCCGGACGCACCTCTCAGCTGCTTCCAAAGCCTCAGACCCAGGACACGCAAGCCCTGAGCGAGGCCTCTCTTTTCCCCACCCAGCCTCCCCCATGACCCTCCCTGGGGCACCTACAACAGTGCCAGGGGCAGGAGAGGCCCTCACATGCCTGTCGAATAAAGGGGCATGAAAGGAGCCCAAGGCATCCTCTCTCTCTCTCTCTCTCTCTCTCTCTCTCTCTCTCTCTCTCATCTTCTCCATCCCCTCTTGTCCTGGCTCCATCCCTTCCTTCATCTCCATTTTCGCTCCTTTCCTTCCCAGCCTCTGTCCCAGAACTGCCTCTGGCAACAGGGGTGCCTCTGAGGGGAGCCTGCCTGGCCCCTCTTGGGGGGGTTTAAGCTAATGAAGGACAACGAGGGAGTAAGGAAGGGGCGTCCTCCCCCAGCACAGGACTGGGGAGTCCCTCGATGTGTACCCAACTCCAGCCAGCATGGCCCCTGTCAGAGCAGGTCTTCCCCTGCTGCTGCTGCTGCTCTCCAGAGATTCGCTCTCCTGTTTCTTGGGGGGAGGGAAGGCTATGGAGAAAGGGTAGTCGCCCTTTCAAGAAGAATATAGTGGTCCAAATTGTACAGTATTTGTCAGTATTTTTTTTTTCTGAAAAATTCAAACACATCAACAGAAAGACTGATTTAATAAAATACTTTAGAAAATAAAAGCCCCGCCGGCCGCCTTCCTTGCTGGAGCCAGACGGTTCCTTTCTTGACATTCGATAGGACCTCTCCCAGACGTCACTCACTCACAAATGACGGATGGACTGACGGATGCAGGGACTCCCTCTGGGTACTGTCCCCCTTGCCCCCCAGCCCCTGCCCTGCAGAGCAGCTGACTGGGGTCCAGGCGTCAGAGGCACCCGGGCAGCCCCTAGAGAGGCTCCCTACTGGGGGCTAGGCAATGTCTTCCTCAAGGAAAAAGGGGAAAACTGCACAAACCACACAATGACAGACACATGAGTCCACTCAGGTCCTGGGAAGGGGAGAAATCAAAATCCTACAGAGACACGTGTGTGTGCATATAAATATCCGTCTTTTTCCGAGTTGGCCATAGCTTTGCCTCATGAAATGCAATGGCTTAGAATTCAGCGGTTCTCAACCTGTGGGTTGCAACCCCTTTGGCGTCGAACGACCCTTTCACAGGGGTCACCTAAAACCATCCTGCATATCAGAAATTTACATGACGATTCATAATAGTAGCAACATGACAGTTACGTTTGTTCCCGGCCAGCACAGACGGATCAGCCAGCGAACGTGTTCATAAGCGGAGCAGCACAGCCACGCGCTTCCCGCTTCCTTCCTCTCGCAAAAAAACCAATTGAAAGAACGCAAGAGAAACGGTTGCCTTCCCAAGCAGAGAGGAAACGTCTTGGGGGTGCTTCATGTATGTCTTCTAAGAAGAGGTTGCCATTTTATTCCGCACTCACTTTCTGGGGCCTCGCTGGCTCTTGACTTCTATTTTAGTCTGTGCTTAAAACTCCAGCAGAGCTGCTGGTGGGCAGCTGTTCTCCGGGCAGATCTGTTGCGGGGGCAGGTGGCAGAGCACTGGATTAACATGCCCGTCTCGGAAAATCTCAGCCTTTTGCAGAGGGCCACACGCGGGAGGCCATCTTTTTTTTTTTTTTTTTAATATATTTTATTGATTTTTCACAGACAGGAAGGGAGAGAGACAGAGAGTTAGAAACATCGACGAGAGAGAAACATCAATCAGCTGCCTCCTGCATATCTCCCACTGGGGATGTGCCCGCAACCCAGGCACATGTCCTTGACCAGAATCGAACCTGGGACCCTTCAGGCCGCAGGCCAACGCTCTATCCACTGAGCCAAACTGGTTTTGGCGAGGAACTGTATTTAAAGGGCCAGAACGTTGAGAACCACTGGCTTAGATGCTCCTGATCCCTCCTTCGGTGATGCTAAGCTGGTCATCAAACCGTCTAGCGCAGGGCTGTGCACCAGGACCAGGAACGATGGACTTGTCCCATATCTACACTGTCTGCTCTGCCACGTGCGTCAGGCACATCCAGCTCTTACAATGAAAGGTAATGGCAGTAAAGGTGCGCCCAGTTACACCCGCCAGGTTCCAATCACTCAGCGGCCACCTGCGGCCAGTGGCTACCACCCTGGACATCAGGGTCCAGAAGCTCATGGGGGTCGGGGTCAACACACTGGCCATCAGCAAGGGCTGAGGAAGGAAGGCCTCTGCCTGCCCCCCACGGCAGGGGAGTGTCTGGAGTTCTGGTGGGTTCCTGCCCCCTGCCCATCCCCACAGATCCCGGCACTTCCCGAGGCCTCCCGCCCCCTTCCAGCTGCCGACACCTGAGGGGAGGCCATCAGCTCCACCTGCCCAGCCTTGGCCCTGACCTTGGGGTGGACATGGGCTTGGACAATGCCACAGCTCTCAACTCACAGGAACCCTCTGTGCTGACTTCTGTACCTTTGACCCCAGTATTATTACCAAATTCAAAGTCGCAGGATTACAAGACTGAAAGTCACTTCAACACAGCTTTTGGTCTCTGTCTTAGGTTCAAAGAGATGTTTTCAAATACCTAGGCCACGTCACTCAGCGTGGCCATGTTTGTTCCGTGAGCATTTTTGATGTTTTTTACCCTTTGCCGGGCACACCAGACCACTGTTGTATTGGCTGTTGTCAATCTACTGGGAAAAGGTCAGTGTCCTGACTAGTCAGGTATTGCATATTTTTAAAATTGTTGCAGCACACCAGTTGAAAATCACCGCTCTACGTAAATGCTAGTGGTCTCTGAATTACATTTGATTATCTAGATCAGGGGTCCTTAAACTTTTTAAACAGGGGGCCAGTTCACTGTCCCTCTGACCGTTGGAGGGCTGGACTATAGTTTAAAAAAAACTATGAACAAATTCCTATGCACACTGCACATATCTTATTTTGAAGTAAAAAACCAAAACGGGAACAAATACAATATTTGTATTTGCATGTGGCCCGTGGGCCATAGTTTGAGGACCCCTGATCTAGATACTCAGAAAACAAACAAATGCTATGGTCAGATATGCGACTATCCCGCTGCTTGAGATCCGCACACGTGGATCACATTAGTGTCTAACAGGTTCGATAATAGAAACAGGTGTCACTCTGCTGAACTCAGTCTTCCCAAGCAGATTGGACCATGAAACCACCTCTTTCAGCACACCTGGAGGAGCAAGGGTTCCAAGGAACACTGTTTGGGAAATGCTGCCCTGGCAGGCATCCCCCATGCCTTATCTGTTCCTGTCTTCCATTACTTACAGCTCAATTCCTACATTCCCCAAGGAAATCGGTTCCTAAATGCACAGATTCTTCTTCACCTTTAATAGCCTCTGTTTCTCATGCTGCTCTTTCTCTTTCTCCCATTAGTGAACCATGATAATCCCATTGCTGGTTTTTCATGGCCTGGAGACCTTAGGGCTGGCTGGAGAGACACTTCCATCGAGGAAAACCAAACATTTTGAATGAAGTTATGGAGACGGAAGAGCCGGTCTCCCCCGCCCACCTCCCGCCTGCTGTATAACACACAGAGCATCTCGGGATCCCATCTGATCCCTGCGGTGACCTATGCAGGGTGTAAGCCAGGGGTGGTGCCATTTTACAAATGAAGAAACGAGGCCCAGAGGAGGCACATAGCTCCCCAGACCTGGAACGGAGCAGAGCCTCGAACGCCTCCCCCAGGGCCCTGCCATGTGCTGGTTTGGGCTCCTTCATGTTCACCTGCAGGCGCACCTGGTGCAACAAAGGACTCGAGTCCCCAGATGTCTCCTTTAGAGGTTCCACATCAAGCCACATCTTTCTCATTAGTGCTCTCTGATTAAAGCTAATTGTCTTCACCTACCAACATGGAGAAGCATTTTCATTCCGTTCTGTTACCTTCTCTTATTTAAATCACAACACCCCAAAACCTTTGTTTTCTAGTCCTTGCCTTCTCAGTGCCCTGCGATTTGCTGTAATAACAAATAAACAGGCTTCTGTGGGCTGGCCTGGGAACCTAACTTCCCCAGGTAATACTGGAATCGAAATAGCCCATTCTCACTGCCCCTAGGAAGTACCCACAGCCAGAAGGACCTTAAGGAGTGGAGTTATTTGCATATTAGGAACTGCCGGAAACCCCTTTAGGGGGTGCCCCCCTTACCTTTCATCAAGCTGAGAGCCCCCAGCCCCTGTCTCACCACCAGCCCAGTAGACCAGGTCCGGGAGGAGTCCATGCTCACTAGGCAATCTCTCCAGGGTATTTCCCAGGTACCATTCATCCAGCAGCCACGCTGCCTCCACAACCACCAAGCACAGGCTGGACCCACAGGCGACTCTCAAGACCATGCTATCCAGGAAGGAAGAAAAGTGGGGACTCCCCAGAACTCACCTTTACAGAGGAGAGGAGGTGGTAGTGGAACGGGGCGACACTGCCACCTGCTGGCCGCGGGCCCTGGTCCCATTGACCCGCGCTCCTTCGGCTCCTCTCCAGCGCCCTGGACCGGCTTAAGGGAACGACCTGGACATTTTTCACGCAGGACTTCAGCAAACGATTACGTTTTGCCAGGAGCTTTTCATTATTTACACTTGTTTTCCCTTCTGCCACGCTGTATGTCCATTTGCGTTTCTCCCTGTCGGGGGCCTCTCTTCGCACACAACACCTGGTCCGTTTCCTTCCAGGCCTCCCCTTCAATCTTGGTCTTTCTCCCGCCCCTTCAGCAGTTTCTGGCTTTAATGATCCTCGAATCCCTGAGAGCTCTCCACGTAAAAGCAGAGCTCTTGTCGTCTGACAAACAAACTCCAGGCCTCCATTCCAGCAGATGCCACTGTCCACACCAGCTCTAAACTGCCAGGGAAGGACCCTCCCTACCTTCGCCACCGTGGCCCTCACACCCTCTCACCCTCCCTCCTGAAGAGCTCTGCGGTCTGAGCTCCCCTGTCCCACTCCTCCTGGCACAGGCCTAGTGCACAGCCTGTCTGTGAACCGCTGCCCTTTATCCGAACCCCCCTCCCCGCCTCCCAGCGCTTTAAATGCGCAGGCGCCAAGGGCCCAGCCGGACCTGGGAACTGCAGCTCCAGCTGATTCTGATGGAGAGAGGGGGCCAGAACCGCGCTTCCACGTGGCCCAGACCAGATCCCCTACCCGTCTCTCCCCTTGGCCTTGCACCAAGCACTCCTCCCCTCACACAGAGACCACTTCCTCCCTCAAACTTACCACCCTCCACCCTCCCGTCTTTGTCACCAGACTTCCCTTTCCCGGGTGCCCTGCCTCCTCCCAGGCCTCTCCTGTCTCCCAGCAAACTCAGGGGCATCCCCACAGACCCTCTCCCATCACTCCCGTGACGCTTTCCCTGCCCCCCATCCTCTCCCCGCAACCCTCTCCCCCCGGCCCCCAGCATCCAGTCCATATCCCTGTCGACTCGCTCTCCCCACCTCACTGCCCACTGTCATGGTGTGTCCCAGGCCTGTCCCTACCGAGCTGTGGGCAGGGGCTGTGTAGTGTCCTACATGAAATAGGCGATGGCTTGGAGACTTTATCAAATGAGTGCGCTGCTTCTGCCTGGGGCCTGGCTGGCAGCCTAGGAAGGCTGTGGTTTTCTTTGGTTTGTCCCCAGTGGCTATGACCTGACTCTAAGGAAAGAGAGTGACCCTCTGAAGAGGTTTACCCAGAAGCCCATTCCAGCCCCAGAGTGGGAGCTGCCAGAGCTGGTCACGTGAAGGTCAGCAGTGCCTAGAGGAGGGCTGGCACACCCCGAGGCTTACTCAGCATGCTGAACAAACGAATGAATGAATGAATGAATGATAGCATGCACTCCATCAGTGTAAGGACCTCTGTCCCCCCTGGTATGAAGCAGGCAGACACTTAAATTCTTGAGTCAAAGAACAACGTGGGGCATTTTTTAATGATCAGCCCCAGCTCTGGAACTGTCTGTCACTCAGACCACCCACCGTGAGATCTAGCAGTGACCATGGCATTGCTCAATGTGTGTGTGTGTTGTTGGGGGGAGAAAGGGTAAAATTTTAAAGGCTGATTTAAAAAAAAGTTCCAAAAGTACAGGTTAAACCCGGGAAAAGCTGAGGCAATAAAGGACACCCTTGTCCTGGAGGGAGACTACAGCTTTTAGGGGACATTTGTCCTCCTGCCCCCTCTCTCCTCCTGCTTCCAAATACCATTATTTGCCATCATGCAAGTAAGAGACCACAGCCAAGCCTGTCCCACTAAAGTGCACAGACTGTGCCTTCACTCACACTTGGGTTAAATTTAGAATTCAAGCGCACTTCTGTGGGGAAAAGAACACAAGACAAATGTTTTAAATCAGGTGGTTTATTAGTATTTTCTT